CCTAAAAATAAAAAAAAAATGGGAAAAGGAAAATGATTGACGTGATGCTAGGAAAAGGACAGACATGACAGCAGGAGGGAATGAGTTGGGAAGAAAGGAGTCCGCAGGAGTGGAAAGAGGATGAGAGAGGACTATCAATGTAACCACTGTGCACTGTATACAAGTAGCATATGGTCAGAAACTTTTTAAATCTTAAAAAATGGAAATAATTTTAAATCTCATAGACATAGAATGGAACAAAGTCTATGCAATCTTCATAAAAAGTGTGCCGAAATACTTCATACCAAATGAATTGTGACTCAAAAATAAAAAGCACGGGGGCTGAAGAGATGGCTCAGTGGTTAAGAGCACTGACTGCTCTTCCAGAAGACCTGGGCTGGATTCCCAGCACCAGCACGATGGCTCACAGCTGTCTGTAATTCTAGTTCTAGGGGATCCCACACCCTCTTCTAGTCTCCACAGACACGGACTGTGAGCTTGTGGTGCACATATATGCAGGCAAAATAGCCGTACCTATAAAATAAAAATAAACAAACCTTTTAAACACTTGTTAAAGCTCTATACAGTTGTAAAAGGAAAAAGGACAAACCCTATGTCAAACATAATCTGGACTTACTTTGTCATGCAACTAGACATTCAGCAAATGGATCGATGGAATTGCTGTTCTGCAGTGCATTGTTCTTCTTTAATTGAATTAAATATGTTTGCAATTCTGTTCATTTCTAATATGGAAAAAATAAGTACAACACAGATACAAAACTTCCAAGGGCTTTATTCCTGTTTGATAATGTAAAGAGGGTTCTGAGAAAAATAAGTTTGAGAATCGCTAGTGTAACACAGTAGAAGGGGGATATTTATAACCAAGACTTTGAATAGATAAAGCATTCTTGTGCATTTTCGAGTGACTTTGTAATTTTCACATGTACCAGCATCTACTGGGGAAAATCAAGTATATGTAGATTTGGGTATAAGTGCTACTAGTATCTGTTGGGAAAATTTTGAACACCATTCATTATTTATACTCTCAAATGTAATTTGTGGTAAACTGGAATCTCAAATGTTTTTATAACTTCACCATTGAGCTGTTATTTTAGGACACACACACACACACACACACACACACACACACACACACACACACGTTTTAAATTTATGAAGGGATAAAAACCATCAAGTCTCCCCAACACCATGTAAGCCAGGAGTAGCACCAAGCACTATTCTATTCTGCAAGGTTGGTGGTGTCATGGAAGGTACTGAGGGAACTGTACCAGAGGTGAGAGTGGCATTGAAAGGTGAGTTTGTGTTCTACCCTGCATTTCTCATTGTTGGCCACTTCCCTTTGCTGAGCTCTAGAAAGGTCCCCACTCTTGAAAATGTAGGTGACCAACTCATTCTGCTACCTTTTGGCTCATCACTCATTTTTCTTCCCCTTCAGTCCTTGATTCAATCTTCTTTGCTCCCTGGAGTTCTTATTGGTGATACAGTGAGCCATGCCCTTTATCCTCTTAAAAAATTAATGGTTCGGGTTTACCCAAATCTGTTCTGACTTGTGGTACCAACCAAGGACTTGAAGGATGTAGATAATTATTGTATCATCCATTTTACCTTACTTTTATCCTGTGTAAAAACAATTACATTTTAGAGACGAGTGAGGGAATTACCATAAACCTAATCTGGTTGTTCTAGTTACACTACAACTTGTAGTATTGGTGCTTTGGTGATCAACACAAGCCTGAATGTCTAGCACAGAGCATCAATGGGATCAATGGGATGAACACTTGTTTCTCTTCAGTAATAATCACCACAAGGAATGCTTTGGTTTCACCTGGAAAGGGCAACAGTACACCATCACTTGCTATTTTATGGTCATATCAACTCTTCAAGCTTGTATCTTAAATGAGACTGTATAGGCATGATCACCTTTTCCTTATACCACACAGGACACCATTCTGTTGTACTGATGTCATGATTCTAACTGTGAAAGATGTAGAAAGTAACCTAGACACGCTGGCAACACATTTGCAAGAGAAAATGAGGGAAATCAATCCTACACAAAATCAGGATCTTAGAGTGAAAAAAAATTAATGGTCAAGTGCTGTAAGGCATGCTCAAATAATGCTTGTGAGGTACAGCTGATGTACCCCAGTAAGAACTGCTAACAATAGGTGGGAGGGGCCCTCAAGAAGCCTACTGGAAATTGCTGACAACATGAACATGATATTCTGCATTTTGAGACAGTCTCATTGAGTTGCCCAGGTGGACCATGAATTTTCAATCCTTTTGCCTCACTCCTTCCTAGCAGCTGGAATTATAGGTCTGAGCCACCAGGCCTGGCCACACAGCTAATATTAGTTTTCTATTGCTACAAACCAAATGATCACAAATTCAGCATCTTACAAGAACATGAATGTGTTGTTGAGCAGTTCCATAGGTCAGATGTCATAGCAAGATCAATTATTTCTTCTGCCTAAAGGCTCATAAAATCAGTGTCAAGCTAGAACCCTGATGCTGACTAACTGTATATTTAGCATCGTGGTTGCTTTGGGATGTGAACTGGCCCCCCAAACACTCTGAATAGCCAAGCATTAACTATTCTCAGGGCTTCAACAAGCACTGAACTCACCCCTTCATTGCTGAAAGGGCAATCCAGGTGGTTTGACATTCTATTTGGGTTCTGTTTTGAGACAAGGTCTCACTATATGGTCGTGGCTGGTCTGGAACTACATATGTAAACAAGGCCAGCCTCAAAGTGACAAAGATCCACTTCTTTCTGCCTCCCAAGTACTGTTGATATTGGATTTGCATAGTCAAGATGCTCTAGATGTGTCTGTGGGGGTGTTTCGGGGGGAGACTGGCTTGTCTGTCTGTGGACCCAGGGAAGAAGATTAACACTTAGTGTGGTTGAACATCATCCAATTAGTTGGAGACATGGATTGAATAAAAAAAGGGGAGGGGGCATGGTTCAGTGAGTAAAGATGCTTGTCACCAAACGAGATGACCTGAGTGAGTTTGATCTTCAGAACCTGAATGGTGAAAGAAGACCGACTCTCCTCTCTCTCTCTCTCTCTCTCTCTCTCTCTCTCTCTCTCTCTCTCTCTCTCTCTCTCTCTCTCTCTGTGTGTGTGAGAGAGAGAGAGAGAGAGAGAGAGAGAGAGAGAGAGAGAGAGAGAGAGAGAGAGAGAGAAATAAAAAAGGGGGAAAGCAGAAAGTTTAAGGTATCCTTCTTCTGGAGCTAGGACAACTTTTTCCACCTGGCTTTGGAAGTCAGAAGATCACGTTTTTTTGAGCACTGACATCCAGGCTCACACCCCCACTCTTCCAGTCAGATTCTATGGCCCTCGATTCTGGACTAGGAGATATCAAATCAGCTTCTCTTGTTCTCCCTGGAGTCTGTGATCTCCACCTTGCTGTGGGACTTTTCAGTTTCCATGATCAAGGGAGCCAATCCTCTTACTAAATCTCTTTTCAGATATCTCTCTGTATATAATTTTTCTTCTATTTCTGAAGAAGAGGACTAAAACATGTGGTGAGCTGCTTTTGCCTTCCCTTGGGTCATTAGACAGACCGCATGTCTCAAGGCTTGTGGCACTCACTTCTTTGTCTTTTCCTTTAAGGCAAAGTTAAGTTCTTAGGAGCAAGCCCATACCCCCTTGGGTATGCCCCTTCCTTTTCTAAGATGGAATACTGCATCCTGGTCACACAGTGGGAGATGGAGGTTATTTATGCATAAGCATGTAGAAAATGACTTTTGTTCACTAGGATTGATGTTGCCATAGTCACTGCCAAATGTTCAATATGCCAGAGGTAGAGTCAAACTGTGAACCTTACATATGGTGCCATGTCCCAGAATGATGAATCAGCTTCTGAATGGCAGCTTGATTATTTTGGCCTGCTTCTATCACAGGAAAGGTGGCTCTTTACACTTGAATTGACACTTATTCCTGATATGAACTTCCGTTTCCCCAGTATTTATATTTGTAAAATGCCCCCCCTCTGTGTGGGGTGGGGGGGGTGCAATGTGTGTGGGTGCTCATGGAGGCCAGAAGAAGGGAGGGAGTAGGATTACTCAGAGTTGGAATTTCAGGTGGTTGTGAGCTGCCCTTGGTGTTGGAACCCAAACTAGGGTCCTCAGGGAAGAACATCAAGTGCTCCAGTTCTCCAGTTCTGGATACGAAAAGTAATTCTCATCCACTGTAGTATGAGAAAACCATTTGTGGTCTTAGAAAGGTGATATTGATCATCAAGATACACCTCATTATACTCCTTCTAAACATGGAACTCATAGGAAAGGAAGCCCAGCCATGAACACTTGCTGCCAGCTGTCACTGATCTTTCTGCCGTAATCCTGACCAGGCTGGCTTAGTGTAACCATGGAGTTAGTTACCTTCTGACATGTCACTTATAGTTCTGCCTTTGGAGGCTGAGTTGAAAGGACCTGGAAGGTGGGAGTTTCCTCCTAGCATCAAGGAGGAGGAGGAGGAGGAGGAGGAGGAAGAGGAGGAGGAGGAGGAGGAGGAGGAGGAGGAGTCTTCACTGAAGTGGTAATTTTAAATGTCCTCTGAATATTTTGGAAGACCTAGTCTACCTTTATTATAGTCACAAATGTGTTACTGTAAATCATAGAGTGATGAAAACATTTTTTTTCAAATGAAACTGGATGCTACTGTACAAGGAGCTAAGGAGGATTGTGTGGAAGATGTGGAGCCCTTCTTAGTACTCTTGTGCTTAGAGATGATGGATATTTACAGCAGTCAGATTCACACAGGACATTCACTGGCCCAGATGTTCAGTAAAGAAGATTGGAGACAGCCCATAAAGCCAGGCACCATGGCCTATTGAGGGGATATCTCTGGACAATGGGGATAGGAAATGGTTGGGAACGAAGGCATTTCTAAATACCAGAGATGACACTGGTGACCTGCTTCAGAATACAGACTCGTCATGATATTTAACTAATGAGACAATAACATCAATAACATCAACCAGCAGAGGGGAGAGAAAAAATCAACAAACCAGCAAGAAGTTATGCTTTTAAACAAAAGGCACAGGGAGAGAGCCCATCTTTATGAAGAGTAGTTTAGAATAGTTTTCTTAAACGTAGTTATCTTAGCTAACACATGTTAGGAGACTTCAGCATCCTCCTCCTACTCTGGAACACACTAAACTATTTGCTGCATCTGCCTGACCACAGTAATAACAGGATCACATATCAGCTGGTGGATCATTGTTGGAGAGAAAGCTCTGAGACAATATTTCTTCACGTTTCTTCTCAAGGAATTGAATCAAGTGGCGTCTTTTAAACCTGAAAATAAACATACACATCATGTAAAAAAGGATACCCAAAGAACCTGTGCAGTAGGAAGTTCTGTGTGACCCAAAGCAGGGGCTCCCCATCTGTGGGAATAGTCAGCACATCCCTGGCACCAGGTGCTCTAGCCAATATGAAGGGTGTCTATGAGGCTCAGTGCCCAGCTCAAGACTACCGTAACAAAGGAGGGCTGAGTAGGCCTGGAAGGACGTGTCGCACACAAGTGACATCAACCTAAATGTCTGTGTCACCAGCCTTAACTCTAAAGTTGGGGCCAGGGACTGAGAAACTCAAAGCAGACGCTGTTCTCCCCACACCCAACCACTACAGTGACCCAATAGCTTGAAGATGTGCGGTTCCTCTGGGCACCCACCTTGCGGCTTCCTTGATGGTGAACTCAATAAACTGAATCTGGACTTCCAGAGGTCCCTGCACTTCTTCAAGCAGCTTGAAAATCCTTCCATAATCTGAAGAGAATATAAGAATATTTCAGTATCTCTCAGAAATGAAGACATAGAACTGGTGAATCCGTGTGTACCTCAGTAATGTGCTTTCTGGTCAGGAATGTTAAATGGTGGGTATGTGTTCTAAATGCCTAAGCATAGACACTAATACAATTCTTATGAGAAATAACCAAGCAACCTTACAAATGAAAGATGGAGTCCACTGAGATGTTTTAGTCAAAGAGCGACTGTACTCAACTATAGAGAAAACCCCGGTTGTGGCAAAGGCTCCCTCTCCTGAGGCAGTTTCAGATTATTCTAATCATACAACTGGAGAAGCTTCAGAGAAGCTCCCACTTGCAGTAGATGAGAATGAATGCAGGGACCCATAACTGCACAATGTACAGAGATTGAGAGACTTTAGAGTGCTCTACGTTTGATACATTCATCAAAACCCTCCTCTCCAGGCTCACTGCTCTATGCAGAAGAGGAGCCAGGAAGACTGTAGGAGCCGGAGGAGGTGAATGACTCCACGGAAACAGTCTTCCAGACACGACAGGACTGATGCACAGATTAGCTCATGCATAAGACCGGCACAGGTTCAAACCAGACAACATCCCTCCTGGAGAGGGTGAGCAGTCACCGAGTTCCACCCTTAGCAAAGAAGCTATTGGAATTAATCCTTCTAGGAAGAGGAAGCTCATCTTTCTCCAACGGAGCATCACAGGGTAGAGCAGCCACACTCCAGGGAAGGCCCCATGCCCAGGAGTAGTTGGCCAACACAAAACAGACTCCATATTTTGTTTGTTTGGCTGGTTTTCGAGTGTGTGTGTGGGGAGGTGAGAGTGTGTGCATACATTTGCCTTTTTTTTTTTAAAGTATTTCCTGTCTTATTGTTTTGCTTTGATTTTTTTATTTGGAGTTTTTTGAGAGAGAAAGATGAAAAAAATTTAATAGAAAAATGAGAGGGACTTTCTTTTTCTGCTAGTGACATTGCCCCAGTACTTACTTCGTCCATATCGTCGAATTTCCTTCATTAGTTGACGCTTAATTTCAGCATTCAGTTTCTCACGGCTCCCGGGGTACCCACTGGGCACACGTCCACAGTCAGCTGCTGCTGCAACCCTGGGAGGGACCTCACGGATGACAGCTTCCCCTGCAAATGTGGCATCACCACCTTCAGGAAGTAGCCCTGCACTGCTAAGATAACTGGACTGGGCAGATTTAGCATTGTTTCTCGGAACCCATTTGGGGGAGCCTTTAGCTGCTGTGGGACCACTTTTTACCACACCCTCCTGGGCCTTTGGGCTGACAGTAGCACCTGGAAAGCAAAGACAAAAGCTGAGCTGTGAAGTGGGGGAGCTCTGTCCCCCGACACAAGCATCCCTGTGCTCCCTAGAGTCTAAAATCATTTCAGAGGAGGAACGTATAGCAGAGAGAAACGTCACCTATGAACAAGCCACCCCAGGACACAGTGGACCCTCTGGATTTATGAACACGCACACAAACTCGCTGGACAGGACAATGAAGAAATAAACATGTGCAGATCCCTGGTGTGCACAGTTTAGTCTCACCTTGATGTACTTTAGAGAATGAAAGTATCACATGATATTGCCATAGAAGGTATTTCTAGGGTCTAGAGAGATGGTTCAGCAGTTAAGAGTGTTTATTGTCTTTTCAGAGGTCACAAGTTCAGTTTCACCATTCCCATTGAGCAGCTCACAGCCACCTGTAATTCCAGCTCCAGAGGAAGCGAGTCCTTTGGCTTCCAAGATCACCTGCACCCACATACACACACACATAACTAAAATAATAAAAAAAAATCTTAAAAAAAATATTGCTGGGAAGTGGTAGAGCACACCATTAATCCCAGCACTCAAGAGGCAGAGGCAGGCAGGCAGATCTTTGTGTTTTTGAGGCCACCCTGGTCTACAAAGTGAGTCCCTGGATAGCCATGATTGTTACACGGAGAAACCCTGTCTCAAAAAGCCAAAAAGAAAAAAAAAGGAGTTTAAAAAACAAACAAACAAGCAACAACAACAATAACAAAGAAGATATTGCTACTCCTTCACCCAAAATTCCAATCTGTGAATGATTTCACAAAAACCAAAACCAAAACTAATCCTGGGGGATGGAGAGATGGCCCCAAAGTTAAGAGTGCTTGCCACTCTTCCCAAGGACCTGAGTTTAGTTCCTGGCACCCATGTTGGGAAGTTTACAACTGCCTGTAACTCCAGTTCCAGGGGATCCAATCTCGTCTTCTGTTCTCCATCTATACTGTCACAAATATGGGACACACACATAAAAAAAATTAAACGAAGTAGACAACATTGGGAAGGAGAAAGAGCAGAGAAGACATTTTTGGTTCTTTGTGGTGGTCAATCTGACTAGAGTAGACTATAATGCAAAATACAAATGGTCTGCTTCAGAAAGCATTGCATGGTTAAGCAAGAATAAAAGAAAAAGGAGGAAAACAGTGGCAAAGATTCACCAATAAGGAACAGACATACAAAGCAGATCATGGAAACCGTGGTAAATGGCCATAAATGCAGAAGCGAATAGCTACATCAAAACATGCTCAGCATGAATGGCAATGCCATCTCAGACCACTGATGCTGTCCACAACAGTTTCTGATGAAGGACACAGAGACAGGAAACCCCACAAGTACGGCATGAAGGAGAGGTGAGGACAAGAAAGAAGACACATATCCAGGTGCTGAGCACAGGCCAGGGGACACAGCATCTCCACTCTCCGTTAGAGCTCATCCCATCCACGTGCAGGACGCTGCTTCATGGAGGACACAGCATCATTTTCATCTGTTCACATGTGGTCCCTTCCTCTTGCAAACACACCAGTAGCTGTCTAGCCACAGGGATCCTGATTACCTTCTCCATTTGCAGTGACTGAGGCCTTAAGGTGGACTTCTCCCTCTTCTTCTCCCACTGGCATCATGGTCACAATGCTTCCCATTTGGGGTAATGTAGGATCCACGGCGTCTCCAGCAGGGTCCTCTTCCTTTTCAGAGCGTACAGAAAGCTCTTTGCTTTTTTCAGCCATCATCCTTGTGTAGAAAACATCAACAGCTTTATTCCATTAATGACAAAATCTAGCCACACAACACTGCAAAAAGGAAAAGAAAAGAAAAAACAAACAAACAAACCAAAGAGTCTGGGCAGGAGAGATGGGTACATGGTTAAGAACATTGGCTGCTCTTCCAGAGGACTTGAGTTTGATTCCCAGCATCCATATGGTGGCTCGCAACTGTCTGCACCTCCAGTTCCAGAGGATCTGATGCCCTCATCTGGCTTCTGCCAGCAACAGGCACACAAACGGAGTACAAACATACATGCAAGCAAAATACTCACACACGTACAAAATAAAATAAAGCAAAGGTTCCGGGGTAAGACTGCAGTTTAGAAGTTTCATCTGTGTGATTCTCCAATGAGAAGAGTCAGGGAAACACAGGAACTGAAATGTGAAAAAAGCAAGGCTATGAGGTTCCTCTAAAAGCTTATGGCTTCTTGATAAATAAAGTGAAAACATTTAAATGTTTTCAGTGTGGAAAAACCCAGAAGTTCAGTGTGTTAGATGATCTCTGAGCTCAAAGGGGTCACAAGAAATGGAAGAATAAAGGAAAGAAGTAAATTCGTGAAGTGGGTGAAAACTTAGGCAATGAGATAGACATCCCTCTGGGGGTGGGGTGGGGGAGCCAATCAGATACCTTGGAAACATAACGGTTAATTAATTAAACAAAACATTTAAAGAGAGCATCTAGACCAAGCATAACAAAGAATTCCAAGAATTAAATACATGATTGAGGAATTATTGCACTCACGTAGCAACAATCAAATTTAAAAAACAGAGTAACCATGACCACAGCATTCAAGGAACACTGAGACATGATCAAGAGACCAAGGCTGGCCTGAGAGATGGTTCAGCTATCAACAGCACTTGTTCCTTCAGAGGACTCTGGTTTGATTACCAGCACGCACATGGTGGTTCACAGCTATCTATAACTCCAGTTCCAGGGAAGGATCCAATGTCCTCTTCTGACCTCTGTGCAGACACACACCTGATGCACAGATATACATGCAGGTCAAACATTCACATACATAAAACAAATATTTTGAAAAAGAACAATCCTATGAACTCTGAGCTTAAAAAAGGAACCAAGTTACAATCAAAACACATATACTCTATTCCACAAAAGTCCAACAGAAAATTTCCCAAATCTTGGGAAAGATGTGGTCATGTAAGGACAGGACAAATTTGCAACCCTGACTAGACATGCCCAGAAAACTACCTCTCCATGTCATCTTAAAGTTCTAATAAGGATGGAGCCAAAGAAAACTTAATGAAAGTTGTGTATGACAGAAGCTCCAAGTTAGGTACAAAGGCAAACCCATCAGAACCAGAAGACTTCTGTGAAGAAACCCTAGAACCAGATCAAGTACTGAAACTCAAAGCCGTGTTGGTTCTCTCTTTCCACCACATGGGGCTCAGGAATCAGACTCAGGTCATGAGACTTGGAGGCAATCATCTCCGCCTACTGACACATTGCTCTGGCCAGTATTTCAACTCTTGAAAGTTAGTAACTAGCTGGGCACCTTGGTTCATGCCTTTAACCCCACTACGTGGGAGGCAAAAGCAGAGTGAGTTTGAGGCCAGCCTGGTCTACATGGTGAGTTCCAGGACAGCCAAGGCTATATAAAGAGACTTTGTCTCAAAAGAACAAACAAACAAAAAAAAAAGAAAGAAAGAAAGAAAGAAAGGAGAGAGAGAGAGAGAGAGAGAGAGAGAGAGAGAGAGAGAGAGAGAGAAAGTCAGTAACTGCTAACCAAGATTAAAATCAGGAGAAGTAAAGTCCTTCCATAATAAAGATTCATCATTACTAAGCTATCGCCAACGAAGATAGCTAATAGAATATTATACACAGAAGATAAGATAGACAGCAACATGAAAGCTTGGGGAATAAAAAACAGAATAATAGAAAGATAAGTGGGAATTTGGAAAGAGGTAAATATTTTTATCTCCGTAAACCTACAAAACTTTAAGATGAATATGGGAGAAATTAATATATACCTTAGAAATATAAATGGTCTTAACTCTCCAACTACAATATGCAGATTGGATGAAGGGATTAAAATAAGATTCAACTGTTTCCTGTCTCAAGAAACTTCACCGTCAAGGGTAAACAGAAACAGGGAAAGAATGGCACATTGCATTCCTAGGCAAACAGAATCCATGCAAGTGCAAGAGCAGCTAGACTCCGATCTGAAAAAACTGACCGCGAGGTGAAAGCTATCAAAAGAGATAAAGAAGGTCACTGCTTCTTAATAAAGAAAACAACCCATCAAAAGGATAAATATACACTCTAAATATACACAACAAATGTTAGTTCACCTGGTTTCATAGACCCAAAACTACTGGACATGGACAAGTAGGTTCAGATACAACAAAAGTGATTGACTGTTTACAGTATCAGATTCTCATCAATCCATAGATCCTCCAGAAAAGAAAACTAATGAAGAAACGTCAGTGTTTAACTGTACTATGGTTCAAACTGGCTTTACAGACATCCACAGACTATTCCGTCTAATAGTTAGGAAATGCATATTATTTTCAGCAGCCCATGTTCTACAAACAGATCGCATTTTCTGTCGTAGAGTGAGTCTTAACAGATCCAAGTCTTATGCTTTCTCAGATAGTAGTGGTGGGAAATTAAAAGGCAAAGCAAAGGACACCGTAGCCACAGTGAAGAGGGAGCACACGAGCTGGCCCCGGGTTCAAGCTCGTCAGAGCAGCATACGGGACTCCGACAGTGGAAGTGCTGCTACAAAGTCAAGGTCAGTCTCCGCTACAGATGAGACCTTGGCAGAAGAACGAAAGACTTCATAACAGGAACCAGCAGCGAGGGAAAAGGGAGGGCTAGATAAATATCGAATACTTCCCTTTTGGTTTTTGAAGTGAGATACAAACAGATACATTGTAGAAAAAATAACCTAATAAAATTTGCCCCTCTGGGACACAAAATCAAAATGTCTTATTTGGTAAAATTTCTTAAAGCAAAATTGGAAACTTGTATACCCACAAGGCTTTTAAAGGAGTCCTGTAAGCATTCCAATGGGGGTATTTTAGGTAAATCCTATCACAAACAGAAAAAAATGTGTCCATTCCTAAAGCATTTTGTGAAGCCAATAGAAAGCTAATGACAATCTACATAAAATACATGAGAAGAAAACAAAACTATGGGGTACAGTCTCTCCTGAAAATAGGGATGAACATCTTAAAAACATGATTAAACAAAAACCAAAGGTGGGTGGAAGCCATGCCGCACGTCACCGTACAGTTCAATGCAGAAAGGCAAGGCTGCTGCTTTAACTTCAATCAACTTTAAGCTCGGGACAGGGTCAGGGAAATAGCAGGTCATTTTAAGTTCAAATCCTCTTCGTGCCTTGAAAGGATCAGCAACTGAGAGCACAAAACCAGTGCCGAACCCCACTGAAGTGTTTCTACAGAAGACAAAATAGCCGTGTTCTCTCCTATGCCAATCTGGATTGAGCACTATGGACACCCAACAGGAAGCAGCACCAGGCCCGTGTGGGTGGAGGAAGTGCAGTAGCAGAGGGGGAGGGAGGGAGAGGGGAGGGGATGGCCAGGCGAACTTGAGCACAGTGCCATGACACGTGAGGAGGAGACCTTGAGGACACCCGTTATTCTAGCACACCCCATTGTCACACTTCACTAATAATAAAGTGTGTCTACAAAACAAAAAACTAATCTATGACAACACCAAATTCCATTTAAAAATACCAAGCAATTTCTCCCCCAAGTTGCAAAGAATGCAAGGATGCATATTCTCCGTGCAACAATGTTAAATGTTCTAACAATGTGAAGACAGATAGGCTGGAAAAGAGTAAGTGCAAGTGGCATTGCCCACAGGTGGCATTTCTATTTGGAGAGACCATTTAAGATGATATAAAACCACTGCAGTTACTAAGTGACAGTAGCCAAGTTTCTGGACCTGGGCACAAGAATCACAAGCCACCTATATTTCTGTAGAATAAGCACAAACAATTAGTAAATACACTTCAAAGTATCAGTGAAAGTGTGCCCCAAACCTTGAACATCTAGGAATATACCAGCGAATGTGCTAATGCAGTACACACAAAGTATAAACCATCATTTAGAGAAAGTGAAGACTGTGGTAAACTGAAAAGAATAGTCTTTGCACGGAGTAGAAGTCATATTTTAAAACTCACTAACATTCATTCCTTCTAGAAAGATAATGACAATCTCATTCAAAAATCTCACTATGCTAACTGATTTTGAAAAATGGCAACCTGGAGCCAGGCAGTGGTGGCACACACCTTTAATCCCAGCACTTGGGAGGCAGAAGAAGGCAGATCTCTGTGAGTTCGAGGCCAGCCTGGTCTACAGAGTGAGTTCCAAAACAGGCTCCAATGCTACACAGAGAAACCCTGTCTCAACAAAACAAAACAAAACAAAAAGAAAAAGAAAAGAGAAAAAAAGGCAACCTGGTAATGAGTACAGATGTGAAATTGCTTAGACTATCCAGTCTTTAAGTAAAACAACCAAGTTAGAAGAAACATTCCCAGATAGGCGTTTTCAAAGCAAAGCAGGGCTCAGGAGACAGTTGTCAGTCAAGTGCCTTGGGTTTGATTCTCAGAACCCACATGAAAATGCTGTGTATGGCGGTGTGCACCTGCAATCCCAGCAGCAATAGGGAAGAAGAGACACTCAGAACAGATATTTGAGACTTGTTAGCCAACCAGACTAGTCTAATTGGTAAGTTCCAAGCCAATGAGAGACTCTATCTATCTCAAAGGGGGTGGACAATGGCCCTGAAGATGACACTTGAGGTCTCAGGGATTACCCTGGCCTCCAAATTAATGTGCACATAGGTGCACACACTCCCACATATAATATTTAAAAACCAATATAACTGAAATCGTATGATATTTGAATAAAGATGGGCAAACACGGTAGTGGGAGAGGATCTAGGATTTAGAAACAAGTATGGAAAGAAAATAACTAGATTCATAGCATCTAGGCTACTTAACCATCCTGGAAAACATGCTTCGTTGACTAAGCTGACATCAGGAAGCTTCTCTGATGAGGGTCAAGCAAGGATCTGATGCATGCACACAGCAGAATGTCAGTAGGAATGATTTTATTGCTGTAGTCCCTTAGCAGAATGAGTTCCTTTTCTCTCTTCAGAACACTCTAGTCTATTTCCCCTTCCTTGAGAGCCTCTCCTCCCCACTGTTCCCTTACTATGCCTAACCTCTGTGGTTATTCAGATTGCAGCATGCAAATCAAAAGCTTCCAAGTTGGAGAAGCTTCCTCTTGAAGCAGATGGAAAGTAACACAGAGAGAGATCCATGACCGGACCACAGGCAGAGAGTGAGACTTTGCAGCATTCTGTCCTAAATGGGATGCCTTCAGCAAACTCCTCCCTCAGGGAGGGCCTGGGCGTCTATAGGGAAGAGGAGGCAGAAAGATTGGAGGAGCCAGAGGTTGCGGAGGACTCCAAGGAAGCTGTCTTCCAGACACAACAGGATTGATACACACACACACACACACACACACACACACACACGAACTCACAGAAGCTGTGGCACCACACACAAGATCTGCCTGCACATGTTCAAGCCACATGGGGTCCCAGCCCTGAGATGGGGAAGCGGACATAGGACGACACCCTAATGAAGAAGCTATTTGCAATTGATACATTCTAGCAAAGGACAATCAGTTTTCATCAATGGCGAGTCCCTGGATATACCAACCACACTAGGGTAGGTCCCGTGCCCAGGAATAGTTGCCAACAAAAAATGAACACCATAATTGGGGAGAGGGGGTGTTTCTGTTTCCATTTTTTGTTGTTTTGTCTTTTTTTGGTCTTGTTTTGTTTTTTTAATTTTTTGAGGGGGGAGAAAGAATATAAAGTTGGCAGGTAGGAAGGTGGGGAGGATCTGAGTGGAGTTGGGGGATAGAAAAATATAGCAAAAATACATATGAAAAAATTTTAAATTAAAAATTAAGAAAAAATAAGTTCACATCATAAAGACAAAGAAAAATTATCTTTTGACTCCTAGTTCATGGGAGACATGTACGTATACTTAGGATATTTTATTTGTGCAGGCAAAGATTGCTTTTGTTATTGTGGGAGCCCACAACTGACTCAGTTTCCCAGTTTGAATCTGAAGCCTATTCTGAGTCAATAGATTTCAAGCTTGCTTGCTCCAGGGCTGTGAGAAAGTCCTGATTAGCCCACAGAGTCTCCTTGAAGGGCTGTGAGAAAGTCCACATTACCCCATGGGAAGGAACACACTATCTAGCTAGACACTGCTGCTGATACCAGAGAGGTACACTGAGATAGAAAATGAAACTGCCTGCTCCTTGACGCAAGGCAGGATAGATAGTGTTCAAATGCCTGTGCTGTGCATTGTTCTACCTCTGTCCTTCAAGACTGTGTATAAGCTGGCTGTGAAATAAACTCGGGCTGTCAGGCATTGACTGACAGACCTCTCTACTCTTTTCTGTCTTCTTCATTGTCTCTTCAATCCCCACGCCTCTACCCAGATACCCAGCTGACTGTCCGCAGCCTCTGACATGTTACTGGGGATTGAAATCAGACCTCAAAAATGTTAGGCAAGCCTTGGACCTTGAGACTTTAGTCTGTCCATTTATTACTTATTTCTTTCTTTCTTGAGACAAGTTTCACTAAATTGCCCAGGCAGGCAAGAAATTACTAGGTAGTCCAGACAGGCCTCCAGCTTCCAATACTCCTCCTGCCTCAACCTCTCAGGTAGCTAGGATTATAGTCTTGTACCAACAGGAAATCCTAACTGAAGCTTTTTTCTTTGAAGAATAAGACAGCTAGCCACAAAGATTGAATTTTAATTTCCATTCAACTGAAAGACATCAGTTCCACAGTGTTATTGCTGGACATGGTGGCACAGACTTTCAATCCTAGCATTGAAGAGGCTATGGCAGGAGGATGCAGTTTGAGGCCAGTTGGGGCTACACAGCAAGAACTGAACTGAAAAAAAAAGAAGTTTAAAAGCAGAAAGACAAAGAAGAAATTTAAAATTCTCTTCTTAGATGTGTGCATATACATCAGTGCACATATATCTAGAAAAGTGAATGGAACTGTCCAGATGTGGTAGTACACATCTGTAACTCCAGCACATGAGAGCCTAGGGGCAGGAGTGGAGTTCATAGCTAGCTTCAGCTCTAAAGCAAATCTGAGGCCAGATTGAGGTATATGACAGCCTTTATCAAAATAACTACAACAACCGCAGCAGCAGCAACAACAAATGAGCAGATTTCAGGATATATGCAGAACCACAAACTAAATTTCCAAATACAAATATCCCAGCAAAAGTTGTGCAGGAAGTCAGAAACACAATGGTTCTCAATCTCCCTAGTCATCAGAGAATTGCAAGTCCTGACACAGGACTTGCCACCTGAGTGGCAAAAATGGGAAACTGAGTGACAAAAATTCAACCCACTGGGAAAAATAGGTGGTACAGTTGGAAGTTTCCCAAATTAATGGATTCAGGTGCCCAAGTCAACAGTTGAAGGGTTATATTGAGCCCTTAGAGAAACATTCCCTCTGGACCAAGACAAAAGGATCCAGGTGGAACCTCCCATCCCATGGCTTAGGCTGATCATCCTGGTCTCTCTCTACACACCACCAATGTTCAGGAAAGTGCTCACCTAAACCGTAGCCCTAGGGCATAGACACAGTTCAGAAGCTGAGTCCCCTGCATAACTGAGGTCAGGAAACAAGCAAAACCACCACCTATGGATCGTTGATACATCTCCCAACATTACAAATTCAAGGACCCAAGAAAAAATCACCACCCCTGGGTCATTAAGTCAGGATTCAACCTGGCTGAGTTCAAAGATTCAAGGAAAAGTGCCACCGCTGAGCAGAGTTGGATCAACATAGCTGATGTTAAGGACCCAAGAAAAAACCTGCCAGCCCTAGGGCCCAACATGGCTCAGTTACAAGACCTAAAGAAAACTGTCACCCCATCTGTAGCCGAGGCCAGATCCTAGCCTGGCTGAGTTTGAGGATACAAGGAAAACTCCCACCCGTGGGTTGATGAGACCCAGCCCAACATGGCTGACGCAGAAAAGAAAAACAACCATCCCCTCTCGGTAGATGAGGTGAGTTCTTAAGGATTTACCCTCTCTTGAGGCTGAGAAAGAATAGTTAAGAACCCTTCTTCCAAGCAGAGACTTACACTTGATGGAACCCTTTCCAACTTCACAAGTAGCGGAGGAATCACAGACAGTTGAGAAGCCTGCCGAAGAGCGCCGTTGAGCCTCACTGACTCTCCTTCCACGGCACAGAATTCTATCCTCCTCAGGATTCCATGTGCATGCGCAGAGAAGGAGCGTACCACGAGCAGAGTGGTTACTGGTTGGGCACAAGTCCTTCAGAAATTTGAAGAAGAACCCTACCAGAGGGAAGCCCACCCAAGCCCACAGAACAATTGAGAACTTGCAGGAAAGCCATTCTCCAGCTTGGAACAAACACCCTTCAAAAGGTGTCCTCAAAGAGCCATCCTAAATATCCTACGGAACAGGGCCCCACGATAGACTGAGAATGCCCGACTTGGAGTTGCGTCCCATCCGTGCTAAATGAGAGCACTCACCCAGGGAGCACAATACATCTCAGGGCTGAAATCCTGATGCTGTGGAGCAGGCCTAGTGATTGTGCAGTTGTCTGCAGTGTGGTTACTTGGAACTTTGTAGAAATCGGTGCTCTGAGCACTGACCACTGGAAAATGCTCCCCCACCCCCGCCCAGTGTGTCTGGAATGGAATGAAATGAAGAGGTACTAGTCTTCCCAGAAGAACTCTGATTATTTGTGTCCGAGAAGACCAGAAAGGAAATAACTGGCTAGCTACTGCTGCTGGGCTACTGTGCTCTGCCACAATTGGGCCATGGAGAAGCTGTGGGGGACTGACCAGAACTTTCTATGCACAAGTCTGAGATCAGGAAAACTGGCTGCCACCAGCCCAGAGAACCAGGAAGCTGGGCTTTATAGTGTCCAGGAGTCTTCTGTAGACAGACTTCAGTGGCAGTTGCCACAAGAAAGATCTTTAAAGGAACCAGAATTTTTTTCATGGAGCAGGACAAAAGGGTGATTTTGGAGCTGGTGGGCAAAATTAGCTATCATCCTGATGGATGCATAAAATGTGACAAATTTAATTAGTGGTGTTCTATAAGTATGTCGTATACAACTGGGCTTTTGGCTTTTTTTTTTTTAAAGCATTTTACAAGTCCTCTGTTTCTTTGTTCGTCTTCTGAATAGTTCTACCTAATGGTCTCCAACTATTATTGTGGAGTTCTATATTCCTTCATTCTCTCAATTTTTGTTTCACTTACTTTTTCTCATTTATTGCATGTGTTTATAATTTTCACATCTTGGTAAATTGTTCAATATACCAATATATAAGGTCATTATTTGTTTCATGTAACAATTTCTGGCTTCATATCTATTTTGTCTTATATTGTCACCAACCTCATTGTTGATGATCATTTACATGGAGTAACTGCTTACACCTTTTCATTTTCAATCTGCCTGTGGCTTGGAATCTCAAGTGTGCCCCTTGTACACAGCATATGATTACATCATGTTCTTTCAAAACCCATTCCCCCAATATTCAACAAACATATCGACATATAACTCTCACATAGTGCTATTCATCCATTTTAAGTTGCACTTCAGTGGTTTTTGGTAGCTGACATTTTTAAAATCATGCTTAAATATATATAATGTAAATTTGTTGTGTTCACCTATTTTAAGTGTGCAATTCAGTGGCTTTTTGCATGCACAATATTCTGCAACCTTTATGACTCTTTCCAAACTTATTTACCCCAAAAAGAGAACCTCTGTAATCATTATTAGCTCTATATTATCCTTATCTCCCAAGACTAAAACTAAAACTTAAAGGTAACCTCTGCAGATACCTTCACTGAGAATTTCTCTTGATTTCTTTCTGTCAGTTGCTATATTATGTCCGTTTGTTCCTTCCAGCCTGTAGAACGCTGGCAGTAGATTTCAGGCGGTGGATAGTGAGGAACTCTCTTATATTTTTGTCTGTTTGAGACGGTCATTAGTGAAGGTTTGTTTGGCCAGAGATACCATTCCTGATTGACAGCACTTCCTTTTCACTGCTTGAACCCGTCCCTCTCCTTTCTTGTGCAGTGCTGGGAACAGCATCCAGGGCATTGTGCAGACTAGACAGTACTCTACTTGAGTACACCCGCAATTCCTTTTGAGCATTTTCAATGTTATTATATTGCTTTTTGTCTTCCCATACTTCTGATAAGAAACCAGACGTTAAAATTACGATGGGTCTCTGGCAGCCTTCAGACTCCTCTTTGTCTCTTAATGGTTTGATTATGTCACTGTCTCTCTGTTTCTCTGCTTTGCACGTCCTTAAGTTGGATGGGTATACAGCCACACATCCATTATTACATTTGAGAGTTTGGGACTATGGGGTCTATAAATATTATCTTTACATAGTCTTCACACTGCTTTCTCACATCTTCTTCCAGGGATCCTATTAATGCACACTATAGGGGTTTGAATGAGAATGGCCTCATAGGCTCAGATGTTTGAATAGTTGGTCCCCAGTTGGAGGAACTGTTTGAGAAGGCTTAGGAGGTGTGGCCTTGTTGGAGGAGATGAGTCACTAGGGTTAGGCTTTGAGGTTTCCAAAGTCCACACCATTCCAGGTTAGCTCTCTCTGCCTTCAGGCAGATAAGGATGTAAGCTCTCAGCCAATGCTCCAATGCTGTGCCTGGCTACCTGCTGTCATGCTTCACACCATGATAGTTATGGACTCATCCTCTAAAACTGTAAGCTCCAATAAACACTTTCTTCTATTAGTTGCCTTGGTCATAGGGTTTTGTCACAGTGATAGAAAAGTATGCTTGATTGTCATGCTTGATTGTGGCACCAAAGGCTAAGGTGAGGGTGTCAAATTCTTGGTTTTTGTTCTGTTATGTTTTAGTGCTCAGGCGTGGAATGCAGGTCTCTTCACAGCTATATCCTCTGCTCTTTTCATTGTTCTTAATCCCAGTTTATTTACGCTCCTCACATTGGATAATGTCAATCAACCTATCTTCAAGTCCACAGGTTCTTCTGTCTGCTGCTGAACTCTCGTAGGGAATTTTCCATGTCAGTTTTTATACTTTGCAGGTCCATACTTTCTATTTGTTTCCTCTCTTTTTGTTTACCTATTCATTATCTTCATTTATATATAATCTTTCTGCTTTCTTTTAGCTCTTTGATGTCTAAGACAGCTGATTGGAAGTGTTTATGTATTGAATCCAATTACGATGTCATCGTCAAAACCACGACTGTACCTTGAAAGGGGTTGGACAAGTGTAGGTTGAAGCACCACAAAGCTCCCCTACTATGTTTTCATGGCTTTTCACAATATTCCTCTTTCATTTTGGTTACTATACACCCTGGACAATACTCCAGCTAAACACCCCACACTAGCAAATAAAATGTCAGCAATGGGTTGCTGCTGTTTGACAAGACTTTTCCTGGGGAGATTCTACTCACCCCAGACCAAAGCACAGATACCACCAAAGTCCAACTTGGTAATCAAACGATTATTATAGTTACTTACAGAATATGGGGGAGGGGTTACTTACAGGAGCAGAAAAGACTCAAAGGCAGCTGCATCACCAAAGCCCACCTCAGCCCAGGTGACAGCTCACAAAGCTGGAAACCTGGAGCACACTGCACAGCCTGCAGGCAGCTCAACAGGTTGAAGTGTCCTTTCCGAGTGCTTCCATCAATCTAAACCTCTTCCAGGCAGCTACCATGGTTTCTACTTCTTCCAAGCTAATGGTCTGCTCTCAGGGTCTTCTTTGAAGCTTGTCTTGTCTGAGAGTGACTCTCAAAAGTCTTGTTTACTCTGGCAAGGAGGGGCCTAGTGAATCTGGTCAGTTTCGGGGACCTCCTGAAGCTATTTTGATTTGTTTACCTTCTTTTAAAGAGCTTTCCTAAATGATGGAATTTTTCAATCTTGAAGAAACTACTCAGTAACAGCTACCTTTGTTTGAGTTGTTGCTCAGTGGGGTGACATAGACTTCCAAGCATTATAGACTCTTGTCAATACTCTTGGCTATCCTCCAGAACATGATTAAGATTCTATTGTTGTGGGGCGGTGGTGGCGCACACCTTTAATCCCAGCACTTGGGGAGGCAGGCAGATCTCTGTGAGTTTGAGACCAGCCTGGTCTACAGAGTGAGTTCCAGGACAGCTAGGGCTGTTACACAGAGAAACCTTGTCTTGAAAAACCAAAAAAAAAAAAGGAGGAGGAGGAGGAGGAGGAAGAAAACAGCTGTGAGGTGACTGGAGACAGCACAGCCTATCTTGAATGGGAGGAGTAGCTGAGAGAGGAAACCAGATAGACACCTGTCAAGTTAGGGTTAGCACACACACACACACACACACACACACACACACACACACACACACACACACACACACACACACACACATATTCTATTGCTAGTTAAAGTTAAGTCACAGAACATGGAAAAATCAAGCTGGTACTTACTTGGAAGCTTCATCCCTGGTGGCTAGTGTTCATGGTGCTAGAAGATGCTATGCATGTTGCTGGAGGAAAAAAGCAATCCTCAGTCTCACTTAGCTGTGAACCCTGCAAACTACAACAGTTGTGACAAGATGTGCCCACTGATGCAATAATGGCATGTTATGGGAGTGGTCGATTGACTACTTTCTGATTGGATCTAAGGCCATTTCATGAAAAGTAACCCATACCTGGTACTGTTCAAGTAGCCAAGAATCTGTGACTAGATAGGTCAGAGGTCCTATCCAGTATGGTATTATTATAGGAAAGAACCTAATGCTATTATTCTCTTAAATGGACATAGTATGAAAATTACTCCCAATGCCATGCTATACCCATAAATCAGTGCATCTCTCACGTCTCATCAGAGAAGCTTATTGCAGTAGATGGCACTCAACACAGAGATACTCAACTGGTCATCATGCAAAGAATAAGAGACTGGAGTTCTCAGTCCTAAAGGGGACATTCATATAACGCCCCTCCCCACAATGCTCAGGGATCTGTGGGGGAAAGACAGACTGTGAGAGCTAGAGGATAACACCAAGGAACCTGCTTTCCACACATAAAAGGGCAGATACACATATGAGTTAACAGCAATTGCAATAGCATGCAGAAGACCTGTGCAAGCTCCAACCAGACAAAATTCCAGCTCAGAGAGGGAAAGGTAGACATGAAATTCCACCACTAGCTGAGGAGCTGCTGGAATTTGATAGTTGCTGGCAGAGGAAGAGGCC